CTCTACCGAGCTGCTTCACAACGTGACAGCTGGTTTTCTCCAGGGTAAGCCATTCAAGAGAGAGAGTGAGAAAGATTGCCAAGACTGGTAGCCACAGTCTTTAGATAAACTGACCTGGGAAGCGACATCCCATCACTTTTGCAGAATTCTCTTCATTAGAAAGGAGTCATTAGTCATAACCACACTCAAGGGTTGGAGGTTACACAAGGAAGGACATGAATACCAGGAGATGGAGATCACTGAGAACCATCTTAGAGGCTGCCTGCCTCAGTACCTGACAGATACTGAATGTTAAATGAATGGCAACGATTATGATTATTACATAGAAAATTTGAAATAAGTAAATTCAGAGATTTTATTTTGAAGCTTATATTTCCAGTGACTTGCTGCAGTCACATGTTGGAGGAATTGACAGCATACCTCATTTTATTGCACTTCATTGCACTTTGAAGATACTGTTTTTTACAAATTGAAGTTTCGTGGCAACCCTGCATTGAACAAGTCTGTTGGCGCCATCTTTCCAAAAGCATTTGATCACTTTGGGTCTCTGTGTCACATTTTGGTAACTCTCGCGGTATTTCAAACTTCTTTATTATTACTGTATTTGTTATGGTGATCTGTGACTAGTGTTCTTTGATGTTTTAGGGTACCACGAACTGCACCCACATAACATAGCGAACCTAACTGATAAATGTTGTCGGTGTTCTGACTGCTCCACGAACAGGTTGCTCCATCTCCCCCCACTCTCCTCAGGCCTCCCGATTCCCTGAGACACAACAATATCAAAATTAGGTCAATTAATAACCCTACAATGGCCTCCAAGTGTTTGAGAGGAAGGGTTGCATATCTCTAGCTTTTAACCAAAAGCTAGAAATTCTAGCATTAAACCAAAAGCTAGAAATGATTAAGCTTAGTAAAGAAGGCATGTTGAAAGCTGGGACAGACCAAAAGTTAGGTGTCTTGTGCCAGTTAGCTAAGCTGCGAACGCAAAGGAAAAATTCTTGAAGGAAATTAAAAGTGCTACTCCGATAAACACATGAATGATAAGAAAGTGAATCAGCCTTACTGCTGATACAGAGAAAGTTCTAGTGGTCTGGATAGAGGATCAAGCCAGCGACAACAGGCCTTTAAGCCAAAGCCTAATCCAGAGCAAGGCCCTAACTCTCTTCAATTCCATGAAGGCTGAGAGAGGTGAGGAAGCTGAAGAAGAAAAGTTTGAAGCTAGCAGAGGTTGGTTCATGAGGTTTGAGGAAAGAAACCATCTTCATCACATAAAAGTACAAGGTGAAGCAGCAAGTACTGATGTAGAGGCTGCAGCAAGTTATCCAGATCTAAGATCATTAATGAAGGTGGCTACACCAAACAACAAATTTTCAATGTAGAGAAAACAGTGTTATATTGGAAGAAGATGCAGTCTAGGACTTTTATGGCTAGAGAGAAGTCAGTGCCCGGCTTCAAAGCTTCAAGGGACAGGCTGACTCTGTTAGGGGCTAATGCAGCTGGTGACTTTAAGTTGAAGCCGATGCTCATTGACCATTATGAAAACCCTAGGACCCTTAAGAATTATGCTAAAATCTACTCTGCCAGTGTTCTGTAAAAGGAACAACAAAACCTGGATGACAGCATAACTGTTTACAGCATGGTTTACTGAGTATTTTAAGCCCACTGCTGAGACCTACTACTGCTCAGAAAAAAAGATTCCTTTCAAAATATTACTGCTCACTGACAATGCACCTGGTCAACTGAGAGCTCTGATGGAGAGGTACAATGAGATTAATGTTGTTTTCGTGCCTGATAACATGACATCCATTCTACAGCCCATGGATCAAGGAGGAACTTCAACTTTCAAGTCATTATTTAAGAAATATATTCCATAAGGTTATAACTGCCATAGGCAGTGATTCCTCTGCTGGTTGTGGGCAAAATAAATTGAAAACCTATGGAAAGGATTCACCATTCTAGATGCTATTACGAACATTTGTGACTCATGGGAAGAGGACAAAATACCAACGCTACCAGGAGTTTAGAAGAAGCTGATTCTAACCCTCATGGATGACTTTGAGGGGTCCAAGTCTTCAGTGCAGGGAGTCACTGCAGATGTGGTGGAAATGGCAAGAGAACTGGAATTAGAAGTGGAGCCTGAAGATGTGACTGAATTGCTGCAATCTCATGATAAAACTTTAATAGTTGAGGCGTTGCTTCTTATGGATGGGCAAAGAAAGTGGTTTCTTGAGATGGAATCTACTCCTGGTGAAGATGCTGTGAAGATTGTTGAAATGACCACAAAGGATTTAGCATATTACATAAATTCAGTTGATAAAGCAGCAGCAGGGTTTGAGAGGACTGACTCCAATTTAGAAAGTTCTACTGTGGGTAAAATGCCGCCAAACAGCATTGCAGGCTACAGAGAAATCCTTCATGAAAGGAAGAGTCCATCGATGTGGCACACTTCATTGTTGTCTTACTTTAAGAAATCGCCTCAGCTACCCCAGACTTAGCAACTACCACCCAGATCAGTCAGCAGCCACGGACATAGAGGCAAGACCCTCCACCAGGAAAAAGATTACAACTTGCTGAAGGCTCAGATGATAGCACTTTTTAGCCATAAGTATTTTAATTAATATATGTACAGTTTTTTTAGACATAATGTTACTGTATACTTACTAAACGTAACTTTTATATGTCCTGGGAAACCAAAAATTTCATGTGACTCACTTTATTGCAATATTCACTTTATTGCAGTGGTCTGGAACCAAACCCACAATATCTCCAAGGTATGCCTGTATATACTGTGTGCCAACCCCAAGTTCCAGCAAGGACTACCTTGATCTCTTTCCCAGAAAAGTGCTTCGGGTATAGCCACCTGCTCCTGAACTGCTTCCTGTGGCCCCGCTAGGTCCTGTGCACATCCTCTTGCTTGCAGTGCTCAGTTTAGCATCCCCTAAAGGAAGCCTCCAGAATAATGAGCTGCAGTCCTACTCACTCCAGAAGAAATTATTCCAAATATTCTCAGAAGCTTCTCGATCAGGGGTCTCCAAACTTGTCATTTCAGAACAACCTCCACGATTTTTGCCTAAATCCACATATTATCTATACTGTTGTTTATTTAATGATTTCATTTAAATAGACTCACTTTGAACTTTTCAAAACTTATTTTTAGAAGATTTTTTAGCACTAAAGTAAATGAAAAATCATCACCCCTTGCCACAGATATAAGAACACTGCTAAATAAAGACCCCGTGAACAGAACAGTGAAATTAAAATTGATAATACAGCTGACTGCCACCACTTTTCTCTATCTTTATTTAAAAGTGATGTTTAAACAAGTGAAAGAGGTATTAAGGATATCTTTAGATCCAAGATCTGTCTTTATCTTTGATACAATCAAAAGTAATGGAGGAGAATTGATAAGAGGAAATAATTTCTTCACCATGTTTCAAGGTAAACATCAGAAAAACTCAATAAGACTCACATACGTGGTCAGTTTTTTTTGTTTTTTGCGGTACGCAGGCCTCTCACTGTTGTGGCCTCTCCCGTTGCGGAGCACAGGCTCCGGACGCGCAGGCTCAGTGGCCATGGCTCACGGGCCCAGCCGCTCCGCGGCATGTGAGATCCTCCCGGACTAGGGCACAAACCCATGTCCCCTGCGTCGGCAGGCGGACTCTCAACCACTGCGCCACCAGGGAAGCCCACATGGTCAGTTTTAACCAGTACGACCAATACATTTATACAAACGGTTAAACACGCAATGTATTTTTTCAGTTAAGAAGCCACAATTCGAGATGACCTTGGGCAAGTTACTAAAGATTTCACTGTTTCAATTTCCTCATCTCGAAACTAAAGTCAGTAATACTCACCCTACCTACCACAGAGGAATGTTCTGAGGAACAAAGGAGAACAGAAATGACTTGTGAGAAATGGAAAGTAGGATACCAGCATGACACATTGTCATCATTTGCCATCATATCAGTATCATTTACTACATTCTATCATCCCTATAAAAGTCCCCCATCTCGCTGTGCTATCTCCACTCCCATTGCCAAGCTGTCTCTCCTATTTTGGCCATTAATTTGTTTCCAAATTACTATTGCTTTGATGCTGTTTGAAATATTGCAGAGAAATGTCAAAATCAGAGAGTGAAATCCCGGGTCATCTCTATGGGGGTAGAGTTTTATAACTCTTTAACTAAAGGATAATGTGACATTTTTAACCTGTTTCTAATGTTGCTTACTGACACCAAATTCGTTATTCTGCTCTTTATAGGAAACCTGTGAATCCATCCTCAACTTGGTATTGGAAGAGGTAAAGCTACTTCATGGACCACAGAAGCCGGACCACAAGCTCTCTGGGTTCTTCCGCCTACCTTCTGTGACGCCACCCCCCACCTCAGGAGCTGCAGTTCCAGAGGTTGGATTGGTCATCGATGGGAAGACGTTGAATGCCATTTTCCAGGGAAAACTGGAGGAGAAATTTCTGGAGTTGACCCAGTATTGCCGGTCTGTCCTGTGCTGCCGCTCCACCCCACTCCAGAAGAGTATGCTCGTCAAGCTGGTGCGAGACAGGCTAAGAGCCATGACCCTTTCCATAGGTACCCATCATGAGGAGATGTGGGGGGAAGCTGGGTAAGCCCACTCTAGACCAGAGGTGAGGGGTCACGTATCACCGTCAGGATGCTCAAGCTGAGGGTCATTGTCTTAGAGGGAGAGAGTTCAAAGTGACAATCAAGATGTGGCAGTCAGCAGGTGAGCAGCAGCTAAGCAGGGTGGGCGAGCAAATCCAAGTTCTCAGGATGAGCAGGTCTGCTAAGGAAAAGTCAGGACTTGGATGGAGGCCAAAGGCAAGAGGGGCCTCAAGTTCAGAATATCCAGGGAGCTCAATATACATTCAGGCCCACTCACTTCTGGGATGCCGACCATGTGCCCTTCAATACTTAACACATGGCACAATACCACGCACCTCAGGTGCCTGTGGACTTGATATTCTGTCGAGTGTTGATGGCTGGTGGGGAGATCTAAAAAGTGAAGCTTGTCCCACGTTTAGTGTTGTATATTCATTTCTCAATGTAAGACTCTACACACAGCATACCCTCAGCAAACGCTGGCTTGTTGGCTGTTGAAGAATTTCTCATAGGGGATTAAATTTTAGCCATGGTGGAGGCAGAGAAATTAAGGGTCCTTACTTCAAACCTTCCAGGAACAACCAAAGCTGGTTTACAAGAACCTTCACGATCTGGGCTCCGTTATCTCTCCAGCCACCTTCCTCCCCACGGCATTCAGCAGTCCATGTCCCAACCACATGAAGCTGCTTACCATTCTCCAGGAGCCTCGTCCTCTCTCGCTTCCTGACCTTTGCTCAAGCCGTTTCGTCTGTAAAACCTCCTCCAATCCCGCCTAATATTCCTTTACTCCGTGGGCTCCCACAGAGCTCCACAGCACTGTTACGCCTTCAGTGCTGGGCTGCTCAGGAGACCAGAAGTTTCTTGAGTGGAGGGGCAATGTCAGTCTTACTCAGTTCCATCCCATGCCCAGCGCATACCAAGCACATGGTAAACGTTGCTTTTGTGTGAGGACATTCTTACAGATGGTTCAGGTTCTCTTCCTCCTGCAAAGACATGGAAAGAGATTTTCTTTCCTGGCATTTCAAATAAGGGGCCTACTTTACATTGGTGGGGTTTTTTTTTTTTTCCTTTTCTCCTGGTCTTCAGGTAAAAGCAGTTCAAAACCAGAAAAAAAAAAAAAAAAAGAGGGAGTGGGCAGAAAGAATAGAGGGAGCAGAGCTTTAGCAACTGCATCCTAATTGTATTCCCTGAATTGTCCTCTTCCAAACTTCAGACACATTCAAGGCAATAGCCCGGGATTGATTCCCAGAGGTAAGGGACTGGCTTCACTGCCACAGCAGCAGAAACAAAACCAGCAGGGCAAGAAATAGCGGGATTCCACACCTCTGCTTCCACCGCCTTGCTAACAGAAGAGGTTAAAGGGTGGATTTGTTCTGCCATGGGGAAGGTGAAAATCACGCACTGCTGTGCTATCAAGGAAAAAAAAATCATCGTTAGAAGAATAACAGCAACTTACACTGACACAATTTTTGAGCTTAATGAATTTTGTTGCCAGATAATTAGGAGAAGGAAATTTTCTCCCCCAAATCCATATTCTCTCTAATATCTCATATAAATTGACTTGCAGATCATTATGAGAACCCACTGGAAAAACAGGTGGCGCCAGGAGAAGGAGAAGGATGAAGCCAGTTCAGTCTACAAATCATGGCCCTCAAGCTGAGACTGGCCCACTGCATGTTTCTGTAGAGATGCTAAGAATGGTTTTTGTGTTTTTAATAGTAAAATGTGTAAAAACGATTTGCCTCTCAGCAGGAACAGTTGTTCAGTTTTGCTTCTTGGCCCACAAAGCCTAAAATATTTACTATCTGGCCCTTTACAGAAAAAGTTTGCTAAACTCTAGTCTGATGGATAAGGCATCATAGTCTGGAAAAGCCAGGCTCGTGAGGAAGACCTCACTGTTGAGAGCTGTGCCGTCCAACATGGTTGCCACCTGTTATATGTGGCTATTTAAAGTTAAACTTAAAATTAAATAGAAATTCACCAGCCACATTTCAGTAGTCACAGGGGCCTAATGGTTTTCAAATTGGACAGTAAAGCTATAGGACATTTGTATCACAGGAAAATCTGTTTGACGGTGCTGGTATAAAAGGTGGCATGTGTGTGTATGTATTTCCATGCCCTAACCTCCAGTTCCCTGAATCAACTGATTCATTGACTGGGAACCCAAAGTGACTCAATGTACCTCAACCTAAAAAATGAGTCAATCCCATGTTCCTCTATTTAGAAACATCACTGAACATTGTCTCTGTCCTTGGACACCATTGACAATCTCTGATGATTTAGCTGTCCAGCATTCCAGTTGTCTTGATACGGTCGGCATACGTTATACTGAGTGAGGGGGGGTTTGCTGGCCGTGGAAACAGAAAGATCTTAGTTCCAGGGCTTCCGGGTCCCTTCACTGCCTGGATTGCCCTTGCCGAGCCCCTGTGTTGCTCTAATTCTCCATCTGCTTCTCAGTGAAGCCCACTGTAACACCTGAGAAGGCCTTTTCGGCAAACTGTAAAGCACTGCCCAAGACTCACATACCATTGTATTCCCAATACCTAACATTGTGCCTAAAAAAAAGACACAATAAATATTTGGTAAATGATAAAGAAAGAGTAGGGCTTCTTGTCCAAAGAAGAAAAGATCTCTCAGGCTGAAGTCCTGTAGCAATGACTCTTCCTATAGGACTATTCAGAGCAACATGAAAAGGATTCACTTGTGCATAAAATAGGGACGATTTAGTGCCACTTGTATAAAACTTCTCATTGTCACGTAGCAGTTGGACCAGGATCTCATGACCTCTCTCCCTTCAGGTGATGGAGCAAATGACGTAAGCATGATTCAAGCTGCTGATATTGGGATTGGAATATCTGGACAGGAAGGCATGCAGGTACCATTTGCTTCAACTCTACTTGTTACTTTCTTACTCTCCTTTATCCTTATTAGTGAGTTAAGCAATTCCCCACAGTGTTGGAGGTATTTATACTGAAGAGCTTTGCAGAATTATCATCTGAAAGACAGATATCCTTGCCTATACATAACCTCCATCACCACATCCCTACTGCCCAGTCCTTCAGAATAAAGAGAGTGATCAAAGATGCTTGGCTTCTCATAGACAGCTGGCGATACCCATATTCTAAAGCCAACTAGTACCCAACCATTCAGGGAAAACAAAGCCTTCCCGATTCCATGCTTCCTCCCTGTAACCTCCACCCACATCCAAGTTGGCAGTGCCCTCTGTGAGCAGTGACAGCTGTAAGGACATCGGAAAATATTTTTCAATTGCCATTTGAGTCGTGATGGCTAGATGGACCTGTAAGTTGCTTGGTATACCTTAAAAGTGTACCAAAATTACTCAAATTCAGCTTGGAACAAACCTACTAACTTGAGCTGCTAATGTTTCCCGTTAAGACAGACCCCACCTTGGGGCTCTGAACCATTAACAACTGTATTCCCACCACCAGTGCAGACACTAGGTGGTGCCTAAATTCGTTGGTGGGGAGGAGCGAACACCGTCACCTTTTGAGTGTCTATCGTAGGCCAGCGCTCTATCCGCACTTCACGCTTATTAGCCCAGCTAATTCCAGCAGCCGCCACCCTGTGTGTGAGGGATTGTTATTCCGCTTTCTCAGATGAGGAGACTGAGGCTGGGAGCGGCTAAACGCCCTGACCAAGACGCGGACCAGGATCTATAACCAGGCACGTCCAAACCTCACACTCTAAAAAATGACTATGAACTGGGCCTTGTTTCGGAGTCATCCCAAGGGCAAAAGACACATTTCAGCTCCATGGAAAGGAAGAGCTATCCATCCATCAGCTCCACATGAGACTGGAGCAAACGGCCTGCCTTGGTGGGTGGCCAAGGGTGTTGAGAGGTTTGAGGATCACTTGCATGGAAGCCCCTACTCTCTGGTCAACCATCACATCCCTAGATGGTGCCCAACACACACTGGTTCACAATAAATGCTTATTGGATAAGTGGAAGGAGGTGAAGGGCCAGACCAGACCACTGGTCCCTTCTGACCTGCCCTCCTTGGATTCTAGTGGGATTTGCATTTCCCAGAGGAGAGGGTGGGGTGTCAGAGTCCATAAAGCCACCCAAGGGTGCTACACGTGACAAAGGGTCTTTTAGACCCTACCGCCTGTGGACCCAGAACAGAGCAGCACCCTCAGGGGAGCCTCTTTGGTGCACTGGCAGCAGTGAATGGAAGCTGATGTGTCTGCTCTGCCCTCTCAGGCCGTCATGTCCAGCGACTTTGCCATCTCCCACTTCAGACACCTCAAGAAGCTGCTGCTTGTGCACGGACACTGGTGTTACTCACGCCTGGCCAGGATGGTGGCGTACTACTTCTACAAGAACGTGGTGAGTAGCCCTGCGGTAACCTCCCACCCGAGCCTTGGGAGTCCTGGCCAGGGGACAGCCAGCTCTCCCCGCTGAAATAGACAAAGCATCTCTATGTAAGGAAATAAGTCAGGCTAACCTGGATGTTGAATCCTGAAACTGTCCCTTACTAGCTCAGTGACCTTGGGCAAGATAATTCAGTTCTCTGAGCCTCAATTTCGTCTTTGATAAAATGGGGCTAGTACTATTTGGTGAGGTTATCGTCAACATTGGCAATACTGTCTGGCACGCACCTGGCACATAGGAGGCAGCGTGAGCACTCTGGAGTCAGATCAGATTTGGTTCAAACTGAGGCTCCTGTATTTGGTAATGGCTTCACACCTTAGTTTCCTCATCTCTAAAACGGGGATGGTAATAGTACCTTTCTCGCACACTTGCCATGGGGATGAACTGACAGCTTGTATGGAAAGTGATCAGCGCTTAGTGATCACCCTATAAAGTTAGCCATTCTTCTTTTTATCATTGTTGCTGCTGTGGTAACTCTTAGAGGGCCTCCATAAATGAGATTTCTTTTCTGACTGCAAGGAAGAAGGATTTGAAGAACAACTCGCCTAACTTGTAGCTTAGGTTTCCTCCCCAGATAGTCACCCGGATAGGCAAGAGCAGAACCCTGACCCTCAGGAGAGCGAGGGGGAAGGTTTCCACCCAAGACCCTGTGTATCACTTCAACATCGCCGGCATTCCCAACAAGGACTTCTAAATAAGATATACATTAGCAAAAATGTTTAGAGCAGGGTGATCATCTGGGTTTTAGTCTTGCGTGACTCTAGTATGCTTTGTAAACTTGAAAGAGTTACTTCAACTCTCTGAGCCTTGGTTTCCTCATCCATAATATGGGGAGAATAGGACTCTCTCTGTCCCTAGAAGTATTATCGAGAGGTTTTAGCATCAGAGCTCTGGATGGCACGGAGCACTATACAATCATTTGAAGGTATGATTGTTTCTCTGAAAGATATGTGTGTTTTTTGTCTTGTTGATAAGGGCCCAAAGCAGGCACACACCAACTGAGGTATTAAAACTGTCAGAGGCTCTTGTTTGCAAAGCCCTCGATTAACAATGGGCATAGGAAGAAGTCAGAGCACTGCTGTACTAAGGGAGAGAACAGGGCCTGCGCTTTTCATTATCTAGCCTGAGGACCTTTGAATAATCCCCAAGAGACTCCAAATAGAATCCAATTCCTTTTTGCATAAGGAAAAAGGGAGGATTAAGACCAGAGTGATGGAAGCGAAACACAGTAGCCAAGTAGCAGCTACGAAATGGCATATATTTTTTCCTCTCACTCCATTCTCCCAGGCCTGCTTTCAGGAAAGTCACAGTTACCCTGACTCGGGAATAGGCATTTCTGTGCAAAGTTCAATGTATATGTAAATAAGCAGCGTGACAAAAAATAATGTAAATTCCATACACTGGATGGTACCATTATTTCAGCAAGCCCATGCAAACAAGTCTCTATTTGACCAGAAAGACTGTGTAGTTAGAATTCAAAATGCCCCCGTTTAATGTTTTTTCCTTGCCTCCAAGAGAATCGTTTTTTTGAATAAGCACAGCCTCCTCTCTGCATTAAATTTGTGGAATAGAAAAGGAAACGTTTCCAGCCAGCCATGCTTTCAGAGCTTAAATGATATTTATTTCCAGCTCAATACCGGGATCGAAATGGCGATACTGATGCCCTATTATCTCCCCTTTGCAATTAGAGGGTGGAGAACTATAACTTCCATGTCCGAAACCAATTTCCGAGGGGATTAAAGCCCTGCCTGCTCTGAAATGTGAACAGTGAGTTAATTACTGCACTGTGGCTTCTTGGGAGGAAAAACAGGCGCCCAGTCTCAGCGATGCCATCACGGGGTTCAATACGGTCTCCCCGGGGTGCAGAGATTCCAGCCAGGCAGAGCAAGTGGAAACGCACAAGGTCCTAACACGACCTGTGGAAGGAAACACATTTTCACGTTAAAACTCCAGGATGCATGTGAGGACAACAGAGCCACCAAGATGTACTTAGTTTGTTCAAATAATTATTGAACATCTGCTGTGTCGGGAACATTATCAGGCACTGGGTATAGAGCAGAGATCTAGACACACGTGGTCCCCACTCTCATGAGGCTTACGGTCTAAATCGGGGCTCTGCAAACTTCTTCTGCAAAGGGCCTGCTCATAAATATTGTCTTGGAGGTCAGGAACCTTGTATTCTTTTTTTTTTTTTTTAAGGATTAATACAGTTTCAATTTTTAATTGGATTATTCCTTTTTTAACTTAATTTTTGTTTTATATAAGAGTATACTTGATTTATAGTGTTGCATTAGTTTCAGGGGTATAGCAAAGTGATCCAGTTATACATATACGTATACCCATTCCTTTTCAGATTCTTTTCCCATATATGCTATTAGTAATAATAACAGTAATCATGTTATTACTGATTGTTGAGTAGAGTTCCCTGTGCTATACAGTAGGTTCTTGTTGATTATATATTTTATATTACCTATTTTATATAGTGTGTATATGTTAATCCCAAACTCCGAATTTATCCCTCCCCCAACCTTTCCCCTATGGTAACCATAAGTTTGTTTACAAAGTCCGTGAGTCTGTTTCTATTTTGTAGGTTCATTTATATCATTTTTTAGTTCCACATAAGTGATATCATATGATCTTTGTCTTTCTCTGACTTTTCTCACTCAGTATGACAATCTCTAGGTCCACGTTGCTACAAATGGCATTATATCGTTCTTTCTTATGGCTGAGTAATATTCCATTGTATACATGTACCACATCTTCTTCTTCATCCATTCTTCTGTCAGTGAACACTTGGGTTGCTTCCAAGTCCTGGCTGTTGTCAATAGTGCCGCAGTGAACACCGGGGTGCGTGTATCCTTTCAAATTATGGTTTTCTCCAGATATATGCCCAGGAGTGGGATTGCTGGATCACATGGTAGCTGTTTTTAGTTTTTTAAGAAACCTCCATAGTGGCTATATCAATTTACATTCCCACCAACAGTGCAAGAGGGTTCCCTTTTCTCCACACCCTCTCCAGCATTTGTTGTTTGTAGGTATTTTGATGATGGCCATCCTGACCAGTGTGAGGTGATACCTCATTGTAGTTTTGATTTGCATTCCTCTTACAGTTAGTGATGTTGAGCATCTTTTCATGTGCTTTTTGGCCATCCATATGTCTTCTTTGGAGAAATGTCTATTTAGATCTGCCAATTTTTTGACTGGTTGGTTTGTTTGTTTTATATTGAGCTGCATGAGCTATTTGTATATTTTGGAGATTAATCTCCTGTAGGTCGCTTTGTTTGTAAATATTTCCTCCCAGTATGTAGGTTGCCTTTTCATTTTGTTTATGGTTTCCTTTAGGTCCCATTTGTTTATTTTTGCTTTTATTTCTATTGCCTTGGGAGACTGACCTAAGAAAACATTGGTACGAGATATGTCAGAGAATGTTTTGCCTATGTTCTCTTCTAGGAGTTTTATGCTGTCGTGTCTTATATTTAAGTCTTTAAACCATTTTGAGTTTATTTTTGTGTACGGCGTTAAAGAATGTCCTAGTTTCATTTTTTTACATGTAGCTGTCCAGTTTTCCCAGCACCACTTATTGAAGAGACTGTCTTTTCTCCACTGTATGCTCTTGCCTCTTTTGTCATAGATTAACTGACCACAGGTGTGTGGGTCTATTTCTGGGCTTTCTAGCCTATTCCTTTGATCTATATTTCTATTTTTGTGCCAGTACCATGGTATTTTGGCAACTGTAGCTTTGTAGCATAGTCTGAAGTCAGAGAGCCTGATTCCTCCAGCTCTTTCTTTTTCAGATAGCTTTGGCTATATGGGGTCTTCTGTGTTTCCATGCAAATTATAAAATTTTGTGGTCTAGTTCTGTGAAAAATGCCGTTGGTAGTTTGATAGGGATTGCACTGAATCTGTAGATTGCCTTGGGTAGTACAGTCATTTGACAATATTGATTCTTCCAATCCAAGAACATGGTATATCTCTCCATCTGTTGGTATCATCTTTAACTACTTTCATCAGCATCTTATAGTTTTCAGAGTACAGGTCTCTTTCCTCCTTAGGTAGGTTTATTCCTAGGTATTTTATTCTTTTTGATGCGATGGTAAGTGGGATTGTTTCCTTAATTTCTTTCTGATCTCTTGTTGTTAGTGTACAGAAATACAAGTGATTTCTGTGCGTTAATTTTGTAACCTGCAACTTTATCACTGATGAGCTCTAGTAGTTTTCTGGTGGCATCTTTAGGATGGTCTATATATAGTATCATGTCATCTGCAAACAGTGACAGTTTTACATTTCTTTTCCAATTTGGATTCCTATTATTCTTTTCCTTCTCTGATTGCCATGGCTAGGACTTCCAAGGCTATGTTGAATAAAAGTGGCAAGACTGGACATCCTTGTCTTGTTGCTGACCTTAGAGGAAATGCTTTCAGCTTTTCACCAATGAGAATGTTGTTTGCTGTGGGTTTGTCATATATGGCCTTTATTAGGTTGAGGTAGGTGCCCTCTATGCCCACTTTCTGGAGAGTTTTTGTCATAAGTGGGTGTTGAATTTTGTCAAAAGTTTTTTCTGCATCTATTGAGATAATCATATGGTTTTTATCCTTCAATTTGTCGATGTAGTGTATCACAATGATTTGTGGATATTGAAAAATCCTTGCATCCCTGGGATAAACCCCACTTGATAAGGGTGCACAATCCTTTTAGTGTATCGTTGGCTTTGGTTTGCTAGTGTTTTGTTGAGGATCTTTGCATCTATGTTCATCAATGATATTGGCCTGTAATTTTTTTCATGTGTGGTAACTTTGTCTGGTTTTGGTATCAGGGTGATGGTGGCCTCATAGAATGAGTTTGGGAGTGTTCCTTCCTTGCAATGTTTTGAAATAGTTTCAGAAGGATAGGTGTTAATTCTTCTCTAAATGTTTGAACGAATTCGATTGTGAAGCCATCTGGTCCTGGACTTTGGTTTGTTGGAAATTTTTAATCACAGTTTCGATTTCAGTACTTGTGATGGGTCTGTTCATATTTTCTACTTCTTCCTGGTCGGGTCTTGGAAGGTTATACCTTTCTGAGAATTTGTCCATTTCTTCTAGGTTGTCCATTTTATTGGTGTAGAGTGATCTCATACAATCCTTTGTATTTCTGTGGTGTCCATTGTAACTTCTCCTTTTCCATTTCTAATTTTATTGAAACGAGCCCTCTCCCTTTTTTTCTTCATGAGTCTCACTAAAGGTTTATCAATTTTATCTTTCAAAGAGCCAGCTTTTAGTTTCTTTTCTATTGTTTTCTTCATCTCTATTTCATTTGTTTCTGCTCTGATGTTTAAGATTTCTTTCCTTCTACTAACTTTGGGTTTTGTTTGTCATTCTCTAGTTGTTTTGGGTGTAAGGTTAGGTGTTTATTTGTGATGTTTCTTGTTTCCTGAGGTAAGATTGTATTTCTATAGACTTTCCTCTTAGAACTGCTTTTCCTGCGTCCCATAGGTTTTGGATGATCATGTTTTCATTGTCTTTTGTCTCTAGGTATTTTCTTATTTCCTCTTTGATTTCTTCAGTGATCCATTGATTGTTTAGTAGTATATTGTTTGTTTAGCCAGAACATCTAGGTCTGGACTCCAGCTTTGTTACTTACTAGTCTGTAACCCCAGCCCCATGATTTGACCTCTCTGAGGCTCGGTTTTCTCAATTGTAAAATGAGGATAGTAGTGATATCCTCATAAGGCTGGTAGATGGACTGAGTGAGCCAGAACAGAGTTTGGCACATAAGATGCGCTTTAGGAGTCTCGGTTGCTGTTGTGTTTGCTGCCGTTGCTATTCTTGGCCTCGTCTGTAGATGGCGTCACTTCCCGCCCTGGCGTCCTAAGGTTCTACAACCTCAAGTCGCAGTTCCAGCCCCAACTGGCAGAGGGACTTTGGTGTAGTCACTTACCCCATTTGAGCCACTCAAGCTGCCTGTGCGTACATGGAGATAAGAGTTATTGTCTGACCCAGCTAGCTGGGGAGGAAGAAGCAAGGCAAGGTGCTCAAAGGGCTTAAAAAAAAACAAGCAGTCAAAGCCTCATGCAGTTGCTGAACCCTAGTATCAAGGAGACTTTAGCACTTTGGTTCTTCTTAAACCAATCCTGTCAAGTGCACAAGTGGGTGATGTTGATCCGGGGACTCAGTGTCTGCCCATAGCATATTTCAAACCTACCTACAGCACAGGAAACAGACCAAGCCCTCTCCTTCCCAAATCTCCTCCTCTGAGACAGAACTTCACCAAAACTCATAGGAGAAAAGCCCCCACAGCATCACAGGACTGGAGTGGGAGCGGGATGACCTGAAGCCCCAGAGCGGCAATGGAGGGGAGCCCGGCCCTCAGACAGAGAGATGCAAGGTCCATCCAGGGTGTCTCAGAGCACCGGGGTCTCCTTCAGAGCCAGGAAACCTCCCATTAGTCACCTTGGCAGAAAAGCCAAAGGATGGGGTTCCTCAGCTGGAAGAATCTTGGTTAGCATTGTTATTATATAATCCAAAAACGGGACTAAGAGTTCTTGCGGGTGGTTGAGGAGGAAGCTTTGAAAACTCAGTGGCTGGTTGTGCCATTTCCTGGCTGTGAACACAGGCAAGGAGTAACTGAGTATCTCAGAGCCTCAGATTCCTCGTCTGTAGATAATGTTAAATAATATTACTCAGAGCCTCAGATTCCTCGTCTGTAGATAATGTTAAATAATATTAACATTATTATCAAGTTATAATATTTAATAATACATATAGTAGTATGATATTGATATTATTAGCAATGACATTAATCTTGCTAGGTTGATGGGACAAATTATGTATACTGCACATCTACTAATGTGGTATATACTAATATAGTATGTCACACACCTGTCACAAATAGAAGCTCAAATAACAATCGTGGTGTTAATATTACTAGTAGTATTACA